GTGCCACCACGGCTTTGTGCCTTCTACAAGTCCTTCACGACCTTAACTTTAATGCTGTCAAGTTATCAAACTAGTCGGATTCAGCTAACAGCCCGACAATACTAAGAGGTAGGTTCCAAAGGCCCTAGTGAAAATCTGTTATAAGGAAGAAGTTGCAATGGCAAAATGTTGTCATTTTTCTGCGACCAAAAGAGGGACAATTAAAACTCAACGAAACCCCAATTTAGGTCAACTCCTATTTACATTTCCGGGATCCTAGTAACCCTTTAAAATGATGCTATGGAAATCGTGGAATGATTAGACCAAGGAACGGACTTATCTCCCATTTTTAAATGATTTTTTTCCAAAGGAGCTGGCTCAATTTATTTCCGAGAACCCAAGTGTTTCCCGAAAATTTCAGCCAGAAATCGCTTGCGGTTGACGGAAAAGCCAGCAGAGGTGGTAGCGATAATTCCGTTTTCTACTTTCGGGTGTTGAAAGATGGTTGGTGAACAAAAAACCAGAGTCCATTTTGATATACAGTGTCAAACGTCTTATTATTTTCTGGCCACCTAAAAGCGCTGTAACCGGAATTCACCATAAAATTGCGGTGGGCGTGACTTTGAATGTACTTGAACGTAAGTTGGCTAAGATTAACAGAAGTCACCGTAGAAACTTTTGGGTGCATTGTAATTGTTGGAGGTAGCCAGCTTTACCACCTCTCGGCTTGCACTATTCTTACCTAAAATTTCTTGCTTTCGTAAAGCACTACAAAATAAATTGCTGAAACAAGGTACTAAGTTGTGACTTGAATTTGGAATTGATTCGAGACAATTCAAAATGCTTCGATGTTTTATCAAGTGTGCACAGCAAATGCAAGCGATTGACGTTGATGCAAACAGCTACCGAGGCATTCGCAGCCTCGCGACGTCGGTGTCGCTGCTCAGACCTCGCGCGTAGGTGCACCGCCCCCAGACCGCTGAGGTGAATGTCTTGCTTGCTTTGCAGTGCAACAAGGCGATTTCAGGGATTCGGCCAAATGTGCAACTTCACAGGAGTGTCAAGCGGGAGCAGATTATTCTTTTCACTAAAATGCGCCAGTTGCTCGCCTCCCGTTTCGGAAGTCACTACACTGTTTCAAGCCGCTATGTGTATTTAGGTTTAATTTTGCTAATTGCCGTCATAAACAATCTGTGGCGCCACCAGCCATGAGTCAAAGTTGCGTCGGCAGAAATCGGGAATGTCTGTCAGCTTTGGGGTTCGTCCTCTCCCTCCATTCACCCATTTCACACTCATTTCAAATGAAGCATTCACTTTTCATCGTCATTCAAGTAAAATGGGCGTCGGTTCTGCACAATGATGCCGTATATCGCTTTCCGACTTAACCTTTCATCACTGTACACTTTTGCGTACACAGGATAAACAAAAGTGAATACCAAGGTCGGTTTGCGGAACTTTGACATTGCAAGATCACAGACAGTACTCTTATATCTACGAATCCGAAGGTCTTTACCTACTCGCGACAAAACCTACGCAATATGTGAAAGTAAACGATTTCACAAATTTAAATGGGTGACTTTGTGATCTACACAGGAGTTGAGCCTACTTGGCATTGAAACCTAAACATTGGCAGAAACTATTTACAATCGAGGGAGAACGAATAATAATATTAAAGTGGTACAGGCAGGATTTCCGGACTTTTACATAAAGGACATCCAAGTTAGGAACAAGCGAGTACCCCATGATCTTATTCGCACAATTTTATCTAAAACGGGAACTTAATTTTTTGAACAAACCACATTTCTCCTTCCCTTTTTGTAATTTGTAGATGGTTGCTATTGGTGGGAGAAGTTCCAAAACCTCATAAAACTGCAGAAATCCACGAGTCTGAGGAATCACACATGCAAGCTCCTCCTTATCCCGATTTAATTCACCTTAGATTGCAACATGAGTGGTGATTGTATGAAAATATCTAACTTTAAAGGACTCTTCCGAGCCTTGCTGGAGTGCGCATGCACATACATGCTTTGACCTAATTATTTCAAGATCTGTATTTTAGGAGCAAAATGAGAAAGGCCCTCCCAACTGTACTGCTGCATTCCGAGTTACCATTTTACAATAAAGTTACAGGCTGACTAAGAGTACAGCTCCCTCTGTCTCAACACCATTTAGAGACATAATTGTAAATTTCGCCCACATAGAACTCAAGGTACCCGTAAAATGGAACTCCGATGTACTAAACAAAGATCGGACACCTCTGGTTTTTAAAGCAACGAATTTCGCATTTATAAAAACACACAGCTACTTCAGCCTCGGATGTGTTATTTTTTTAAGTAATGTTACAATAGCGTAAAAAGGTGCATAGTTGCGTGGTAATCTTTGGGAAAATTTAATTGTGAAATATCAAAGTTTGGTAAATCAAAAGGGAGAATATGGTTCAAAGTAGAAACACGTGGTTGTATATAAAACCTATTTATCATGAGAAACCATGTCTTTTTGCATTAAATACAACGTGCTATTCAATCCTCAAGAGGATGTCAGTATTTCCAAATCTGGAATACGGGTTCTGAGAAGTTGAAGACTATCTTTTCGTGAAATAGGTAAGTAAACAATAAATTGTCAGATGCCGACGTCGTTCTACCAGTTTTTACGACAGTGCGTACTATTGTACTAAGAGCTGACAATTAACTTTGCTAACCTTTTGAAGTCTAGGATTCGATAGTCGTTGCCATTAGTGATATTACATCGGCTAACGACACACCTTCTTTAGAATAATAAGTAGGCATTTACACAACTAGAATGTGACTTTACTGTGGAATATTATCCAGTGAATTTCCAGGCCCATGAGGCAGGGCTCAGTACTGGAGCTTAAAAATTTGGGCATTATCTTAAAACTACATCCAGCAAAACACCGGAGTCAATTTCGTGAAAGCGACGCCTGGTGAACAGACGTGGCTCCTCGTTCTGGGAAAACCGCAGAACCCTTAACTACTCCATTAAAGGTTGTCGCCATCCGCAATGAATCTGAAGTGAACAGAATGCCAATTGCATATACTCAAACCTTTTCTCGGAATCCCTTTAATGTTTGGGTGAAGTACATACCTTTCTGGAGTGTTGAGTCTAAAAACGTTATCTGGAAATCAGGCCTGTTTGGACAAAAAATGCTTTAGCTTGTAGGCAAAAACAATTTGTGGTTTAAGAACGCCCAGATTGAGCGGTGTCCTCTGAGCAGAATTAGCTTACCTTTCATCAGCCCTGTGGACTACCGGGTGTTGGAGTGGCATTCATTTTTTAAGAAGCAAACTTTCTTTGCAAAGGTTAGGCTAGCCAAAGCTACAATCTTCACATTATAATAATTTCTGAAGCGAATCTGCTGTATGCTAGAGGGTTAGCCCCATTTCACTGCAACTTACTCATGAAAAATTTGGTTTCACCTCTGCCTTAGTAGATTAGAATGCCTACCAAAGTTTCTCAGAATAATCAACACACACGCTATTGTGGGTCCTAATGTACTATTTTATCACAAGTCAAGACTGTAACATATAAAGCTTCAAAGTGCTTAAGCGTTATTTTTGGTGACTATTTTAAAAGTTCACTAAGACGCCTACTTGGACGGTTGTGTTGACGCCCTTTTTGATTTGATGAACCAAGGGACGCGTTCCACTTCAGGTGAACGAAGTTGGTGACAGGCGTAGGAATTGTTAACACGCCAGCTTCTGACGAGAAGATTCAGTAAATTTGGTTTGCGCCCCTCCAATGCACTAATGACTAGAAGTATTTGCCCACGGTTCAGTTCAGATTAGAAACCTTTCTGCTTTGAATTTCATGTTTCACGAATTCCGTGGTTCTTGACAAAATCGAACATTCCAGCAGCTGTGTAGACCTGCAATTTGTGATGCTTAACATTTGCTCATGGAGAATGAGGTAGTTGCTATCGCCAGATTTCGCTTAATTCTCTGTGCGCAGGCAACGGCAGCGCATTTCCTCCAATGTACTGAAGCAATTCTGGCATACAAACCGTTCTGTGACAGAGGAGAGTGGTCGATTTTTCTTTCTCACAATCAGATACCGTGATGGCTGCGGTGTATAAAACATCAACTGCAACGGACGGAGAATTCTGGAAACAACAGTGCGACCATTACACAAATGCACCGTGTGAAAGGACGAGGGATGGTCTAAAATCGCATAAGTTGGCAGTGTGAGCTCAGAAGAGAGGGAGGAAGGAGGGAAGGGGTGGTGGGGATCTGACTTGAGCGAAATTTAGGCAGTTTCTATTACCCTTGTTTTTGTGACGCTAACCTTTCTCACTACTGCCAAGGTCTTTCTTCACATGATCGTCGATTTTCTGATCTTGCAGCCAGCCCACTTGGGACTGTAAATTGCTTTTCCTTAAAGGAATTAGAAAAAGTGAAGCACTTACATTCGTAACTAACAAATATTATGCTAATTTTTAAACACACAGTTTCCATCAAAAAGTACCTTGATAATCCAAAATAATTTGGTCAATACACAAATTTGAGCATAATCATCAGTTAATTAATTTAACTGTTGTTACAGGTTCAGCTAGCTTTCATTGCCAAATATGTTCTACTACCCACACTTTTAATTTACTACGGTTGTCTCGCTGTTATTATTTATGGTACGCTGATGCTTAATTACAGGGTCTGTGCAACTTTAGCCTTTTACAAAATACGATTTACAGACCACAAAGAGGCGGTTTAGTGGGTCAAGGCAAATCCAAAACCTCTTTATTATTATGCAAACAGGACCGCTTTACCAATGCCTTAACATTAAAAATGCTGATGTCAACACAACATTGCCCGTGTATCACAGCCATTGCAATATTCATGTTAGTGCACTTGAACAAGTGAAACACAGTGTTGGTAGAGTTGCTGAAACGTTTGGTTAATCAGTCATCACGGCTAACTTCTTCACAAAGATACCTTGCATGTATGGATTAACGGTCCTTTATTCGAACAAGGCTCATGCTCATGTATTTTTTTTAACACAGGTTTGAAGCAATGGTTCCACAACCCGTCCCAACTCTTTTGTCTGCAACTTTTCTCTTTCTTATCCCCTTTTTCCCTTGCCGGAGCCTGCTCATTGAGACAGTGAGTGTCCTTGAGAACAGTGAATTGGGAACCGTTGTCTACGACCTCAGAGAGAGCCTTCTTCGCATACTTGATTCCGATCAATTGGCTAATGTGACGGCCTACGCAGGACAACAAGACCTATTTTGGCCGTTTGCCCTCAAAGACCTCCGAATCGTAGTTGCTCGACCCCTCGACCGCGAGGCTATCTGCGAAAAACAAAAAACTCTCGGCTACCGTCTAAGCGGACCGTTTGGGGGTTGCCTGGTCTTTCACTGTTGTCAGCTCCTACATGTCAACGTCGTCATGAGTCCCACGAGTCTCACACAAGTCTTTTTCATTCGCGTGGCTGTTCAAGATGTTAATGACAATGCACCTACCTTTCCCCATGTGGAGTCGCCCTTTATCACAATTTCCGAGGACATGCCAGTGGGAGAGAAAATTCTTCTTCCCAAGGCTGTTGACATCGATAGCCAGCCCTTCGGTGTTGCGGATTACAGGATAGCCCGATGGGTTCAAGGAAACGCATCTCACTTTCAGCTGAATATGCTAACGGACAAAGAAGACGACGAAGACGGGAACTTAAATCCCGTTTCAGAATATGCGCAAACCCGACGGCCCTATTTAGATATTGTTCATTCGCTAGACCGGGAAACTGATGAAGTATACGAATTCGTACTGGAGGCGATAGATGGAGGTCAGGGGGATGGAGGAGCGCCGTTTACAGGGACAGTGAACATACTTATTCGAGTGCGAGATGTCAACGACAACGCACCGGAATTCGATAAGCTCGTGTACGATGCGGTGGTGCAGGAGAATACGCTTCCACAAAAAGTCATCAGGTTTAAGATTTCTGATTTTGATGCAGGAGAGAATGGACGAATATTCATTAACATTGTTGACCCAACTCACAAGGCCAACAATTTATTCCGTGTTTCTCTCCAAAACACCATTCCGCCCCCCGAAATAATGAACAAATATGCCTCGTCAAGGTCTCCCCCTGGATCTCACTACATTGGATCACTCCATCTTCTTGAATACCTGGATGCTGAGCAACTTCCACCAAGACTTAGATTTCATTTAATCGCCTCAGACAACGGTCAACCTGCACTGACTTCTAGGGCGGAAGTGAATATTGATATTATCAACGTTAACGACCAAGCTCCAAACATTGTCTTTCTTCGAGAAGGAAAACGTCTTACCACGAGTCGACTGGTTCTTCCCGAGGTAATCACTGCCCCCGAATCTATCGTCGCGGAGGTTCATGTGACAGATTCGGACTCCAATTTGGGACATCTGACGTGTCGCATCACCTCGGGAGGGGACGCCTTCCGGCTGACGGAAGTAAATCCGTTTGCGGGAAGCAACTCTGGAACGGTTACAGCATTGCTCAACTTTGACCAATCCACATCCCCCTTCGTTTTCTCGTCCTACCGACAATTCACTTTAAGGACTAAAGTTAATCTGGATAGGGAATCGAAAGCTGTCTATGTGGTAAGTTACAGTTACAGGAACTGTCCTTGCTTAAAGTCGAAATTAGTTTTATCTATGAGGCCAAGGTCGCTTTGTGATTCAAAATAAATTATTACCAGTTATAGGTTCACGCTCCTTAAATCACGTACCTAACGTTGCTTAACGCTTCTGATCCGGTAAACGATGGTTTTAAATTAACATCAAAGTGCATGCCGGTCATCATATCACAGCAGATTACGTTAGTTTCGAGGTTTCATTAAATGCAGACAAACGTAGGTTTTTACAAATTCTAAAAATGCACATATTTTCCATGAAAAAGTTAAATGGTGCAATATTTTGCTAGCAGATGCTGCAGAGTTCTTTTTCAAGTATTACGAAAAGCGACTTTTTCGACAGGATACTTGTAGCATGGAATTACTTGCTCAGTGTGTGGATCGGCAGCTATACAGTCATGTGTTTGTAGAACGATTTTGACATTGTCATTCTTTAGGTTAAAATATCGTATTCAGGTGACAAATTCAGCAAATTCAGCAACCTAGCAATGTAATTGAAAGTTAGATGTGTAAGTCCATTTTTATTTGAGTATTTATCCTATCTTCCGATCCAATCGAGGTCGCCATGCCACACACTGTCGTAGTCGGCATGTAGGCAGCATTTGACACTTTCTATGCCCTGGGTAAGACCTGCTCCACTGCAACCAGCTTTATTGAATCAGTGAAAGGGGTTATTGCTAGTGAATGGGTGCCCGATGAGTGTTCTGTCCTTCCTCCTTCGTAAGGCTGCTGCACTCTGCTTAAACACTCGTTCTGTGTGAGATTGCAGCGAATCGGGAGAAATAGACAGGCACACAAGAATTAAAAGTAAAAAAATGGGAAGTATGAGGGAAAGCATACTTTTGTGACTCGCACGAGAGGAAAAGGCAAGGAAGGAGTTGGTTTGCTTTCCTTTCGGTTAAAGTGATCTCCCCGAGGCTCGTCTTTCGACGAAAGTGGTGAGCTAATGGTTGGAAGAAAATGCAGAGACACATTCCACAATAACTGGTGAAACTGAATAAACGGTTGGTGAAAAAATGACCTTATATATATATTTACATTTAGGTAAGGAGGACTTAATGGAGTTAGTTTTTGGTTTTATTTCAGTCTTCTTGAAAAGTGCTGACATTTGGACAATTAGCCAACTCCGGAAGGAGCACTTGTGATTTGATAATCCACAATACGGATGATGGCGTACCGTGGCTATTATGTCCACAATAAGAAGCAGGATGTTAACGTTCAACAACATGAATTTTACTACAATAAAAACAACCTCAAGAGGTGTCAACTCCCGCCACAAAATTTTTAACTACTAAAACGGTATCTGATGCTATGGGGATTCCCAACAAATCCTTACTGTTGCTCGATTTTCCGTCATTGAGTAATGCTCAGACGTACAAAGAATCTTCAAGCTCGTTCCTCTAGATTTGCATTACCTGTAACCATCGTTGCAAAAGGATAGTCTTAAGACTTTTAGAAGATGAGCCCTGTAGGAAATAAATATGGAGTTTTTATATGGACTTAAAAGCCACTAATCCACTTCAAATTCACTTTAATTCTCGCCTACTTGATCAGTGTTGATATTAGCTTAATGCTATAAATTTGGGTCTCACAACAACAAGACGGTTACAAGCCACCGAGCTTTTGTGTATATACGTAGCCCTTTTCTACAGAGAAGTACTGGTTAAACGCCGGAGTATTCTTCACATCCTTGGACGGCATCAACTGGAGGCAGTCGAGTTGTGCAAAGCCAAGTTCAACCTCGGCTTGTGCATCACACAATGGCGAATTCCGACACACGTTTCGTGTCAGTCGAACTCATTTATTAAATCACGTTTTTTTCCAGAATCATAACGCCTACCTCAAACCACGGCAGGTGCATCCAGATTTATGTCAAAGCGAGTATTCTTCACCCGCCCTCTTCATTTGCAAATGCCTTAAAAATGCGGAAAAGTCGAGGTGTGAGCGGAAAGGCGAGTGAAGTGAGGACGGAGTGTGTACTGAATAATTTTAATCTCATCGGTCTAAATTTTAAGTATCTTTAAGAGACACAAGTCACACGCAGTATGCACACTCGAGTTTTTACCGACTGGATAATCTGATAAGCGCGTGGCATAGCGTCTTTCATGGTGGGCTGAAAAGTGCTAAGGCGCATTAACTCCACGGCCTCATCTGCAATTCTCCTCTTTTTCAGCCTGTCTTCGTGTTGTAGTTGGCTGAATCTGGCTGAAATGATGCGAAAATGCGCAGCATGTTTCGGTTGCTAATTTCTCCGTGGTTTCATACCTGCACAGATAAAAAAGCATTTCTGACATTAAAATTTTCTTATAATAAAACGTATATGCTTTAACATCGATTCAAACATCAGATTAAATCTAGCCCACTAATCATCATTGGATACCTTAGTATAGCTATTTCACTTTTGTTTGTTAAAAATATGCGCAGTTATCTTGTCTTGACAAAAAACCCTGATAATAATAACACAGTGGCCTACTCCAAAAAGTATTTGGGATTTTTTTTAAAATCGGCTTATGGTAATCGTTTAATTTTCTTATTCTCGCAGCCAAGCCCCTTCATGCCGTTTTAACACATGCTGAAAGATGGCCACACGCCCAAGCTTTGAGTAATGCAATTTACTATCGGTCATTTAAGCATCAAACTCCATGGACAATTTATTTAACCTAACAACAATAATAGTAGCCCATATGCCTGACTGGTAATGAGTTGTGGGAGTTGATAGAATTCCTCAGGTGCCGTGTGCTTCAAATACGAGAGCTAGTTATTGCCAGCGAAGTGCCTAACTCACATGTATTGGACTCTCTAATCATTACACGTGGATGCGTTTTCCACGCATCTGATGAAGGAGGATATGTAGAACAGCGTAATGGATTAATCAAAAACCATCCTAAATCTCTCAAATTTGTGCAACAGACCTGTGGCTTTGATTTTCAGATCAATAAATTTTAAGGGTTTGGTGTACATAGATTTAGTCTGAGAAATTTAGAACTTCTTTTAAATGTCATTTTATGATGTGCTGATATCGGCTCGATGTGTCAACTTGGGATGGAATTAAATTAGGCCATGAAAGGATTCCCTTAGCATTTAGAACACTCACAGACACCACGTCGATGGACAACGCAGAAGTCCAAAAGCGTCGTGCCTGAGTGCGCAATCGGTCGCTGTGATGAGTAAGATAAAATAATAATAAAAAGATTGTTCTTTTTGGATGACCGCTGTATGGCATCATCTCACCCAAATGTTAGCATATCCCGATCCTACTTCCCTTTGACCACTCAATAAGCAACCTACTTTCCTTTGAAAATGTCAATTTGTTTTCGGGGTTGTAGAATAAAATCCCTACAGTCCTTAGCACTTGTTTTCACGATATTAGTTACTGAAAGGTTAGTAAAAGTTTGCTCATTGAATATGATATTCACAATGGCAAATGTGAACGAGAAAATGAAACTATTTGACAAATATCCTGGTCGTATTGCCGGAAGTTATTTCGTTTTAAAATGCTCTAATTATTTAATTAGTCACTTGTCAGCATGAGTCATCGCTGGAACTACCATCATTTTTTAAGCAGAAAATTGTGCCAAAACGGTAGAAAACAGCAAATGGAGGACTTCGTCCCATTAAAAGATGCCCTTCAAAATTTGACGCAAAACTGCCTTTTCGAAAGTCTTTGAAGTTTTTTCTTGACGGAATTTAAAACTCAGCCTCTTGTACTTTGAATTCTCGAGGTAGGAATTCACAAAAAGACGTTGGAAGGAAGCTGAACAAGGCAGGTGCCTTCATCCTGAATAATGTATAATATCACTGCCTTTCATGCCAACTACGAAGCGTGTCCGACAAGCCACTCAATTCACTTTCATCCTATTTTAAAACGATTTGTATCCGTGTTTATGACCTTTAGTAAGAATAATAACTGTGGTATTTGAATCAATGTGTTTCCGGATATTAGGATCCTTCAAATTCATAGGAATTTATTAACGATTCCGCCACGTCAAAATATTCCCCAAAGCATGGGACTACGTGGTACAGAGAGGACTCATTTGTCTGGATTGCAGTGACTAAGGCTTTTCCGTTTAAACTGGTTAATACATGCCACCGTTATTAAAGGTACTAAACTTACCTCACAGGTCGTTGACCTGTTGACTGTGTTCTGTCGTTTCAGGTAATAGATTTGCAAATGATGACTTAAATTTAAAAGAAAATTATCAAGTTATAGTAAAACAACGCTTTTTAGAACGCTGGAACACATCAAAAGAGTGAGTGCAACCAAGTTTGAAAGTTTGAGCACGTCTGCATGCAGTTAAACCAACCGCAGACCATGGGTAGTTCGTAAAAGCAGAGACATTGCTGTTGGTGAGAGTTTCCTTAGCAAAGAAGCGATTGACAAGGCACCGTAATTTGACAACAAAACTATCCGCTGAGGTGGTTTGGTTAGACTAATTGTGTTTTTGAGGTTCAATGATGGATGTTTTTCAGGTATTTATAAATTTTACTGAGTTCCCTGATGTCCCCGCAGGAAAGTCTTATTGTGATAGGGGGTCTGCTGCTGCAACCATGTAAAGATCATCGATGGAGGCGCAGTGGTTGGGGCTTGAATTGCACAATGACATTTATTAAGTTTGGTGGAGTTTAATTTAACGTACCTAGGCATGCTAATTTGTGATTATCTGTTGTCGGGTATGCTTTTTTCGAATGTTATTAACACAGAAGAGGGGTGGAAATGAGTCTAAAATCCTGCATTTCCTAGGTCACTATCATGTGCACAGACAACGAATCAGTCAACCCGTTCTCCCGCAACTCAAGCCTTCACATCAGTATTAGCGATATCAACGACCAGACACCCAAATTCGAATACTCAGTTTACACAGGCCACGTAAAGGAAAACGAGGCGAACGCTCCCGTGACGCATCTTTCGCCCTCTCCGACGATTCACGTAACCGACAACGACGTCGGACGGAACGCTCTCATAACATTTTCGCTGAAAGAGGCTCCGGTGGAAGGCAAAAACGATCCAAACAAAAGCAGCATTGGCGTATCAGACGCGAGTCGATTCCGCATAGATCCAAGGTCTGGACGACTCTGGACTGTGCCCGCGCTGGATGCAGATGACATATCAGAGTCACATAAGTATGTCTTCTACGTGGTTGCCACGGATGATGGAGTGCCAGAAAGAAGATCTAGTTCTGCGCTGGTTCATATTATCGTCGATGACTGCAACGATAATCCGCCTGCATTTGAACACTATCATTACAACTTCGAGGTAGGCTTCAATGCAAATGCCAGGTGTCAACGAAAACCGAAAATCTCTACGTATGCGCTGCATTAGAGCTCGATCACACTCAGTTATAACGGAGTAAATCTCTACGTCATTCCTAACTTTGGTATTTTAAGGTCAAATGCACTTTCCCGAGTGTAAAAATTTCTCAGCCATTTTGAATTTCGTTATAGGTCAAAATTGCAACTTTTTCGTGTTAAATTGTAGGTTTCTGGAATTAATTTAGGTTTACACTGGGTTCAACGACCCATGGAACCTGATACAGCTAGTTGATGTGTAAATAAGAGATGCAGCAGTTCGAAGGTGGCTCGGAATATGTACCCATAAGTCTGCTTTAAACAGATGAGCTAATTTGGTGCCTCTCATTAGGCCTCAATGACTAAGACTGTGATGATATTTGTAAACCCCCAAACTGTTTAAGAAGGCCTTACAACTAGAGTTAGTGTAAGTTACTCCGTAAGTTATCACTTCCTAAAACCAAGACAGAATAATAAGTAAGGATAAAGGCTTGCACGTGGTGTGGTGCTGCGTCCTGAGCTTAAAGCAAAGTTCCCGAGTCTGAATCCGGAAACCAGACATTCAGGGGACTCTAACCAGGCACACAAGCTTCATTTAAACATGCTAAAAGTGTAAAGTGATCAGAAAAAGAATAGCATTCCACATTTTTTGATATAAGAAACGAAGTCACTAGTGTACCAATGTGGTCACATCAGAAATGAATATTTAATGAGAATGCCCTAGTTTACTTGTTTGAAGAAGTAATAACAAATGCTGCAATTGAGCCGATGCTTCGAAAAGTTTGTCCAAGAGAATAAAATTAAGGCCAATAAACCAACTTTCAACCGACTTAATTTTGGATGACATTTTCAAACAATAAGAAAATTTCATTTTTGGGTTGTATTGTGGCAAAATTTGCGGCTGCAGAAGCCAACGTATGCCAGACATGACCCCTAAAACAGTTAAATGGCTATTTCAATTTCTAACCACAACAAGTGTCATTCTTATGTGGAACAAAGTAGTGCTCGATAGGCTTGTGACGTTGATCGAAGACACTTAACTTAATATTTTTAGAAGTGCCATAGATGCATGATACTTTCGACAATTAAAATAGTGGTTCTTCCATAAGTGACACAAAAATAAAAAAAATGTTTTAAGGCGAACAAAACAGAAATAACATCGGTATTAATTCTATAGTAATCAGTAAATATTTTAGAAGTCTTGTGTCCTTAAATCAAAATCCTGTAGGGCAACTACCATCCTCTATGATATAGAAAACCGCTATTGATAAGTGGGCAGCAAATTAAAAAAAGTAAAAGTTAGATCTCTTTGTGTATTTTGTCTGCCGCATTTTATTGGTTAATTTTTGAGTATCCTGTGAAGTGACGAATCCCACGCGTATGCGCTGTAGCATCCAACATGACTGCATGAATTTCGAAAAAATTTTGGTTGGCTTACTACATTGTGGTTTAATTGTCAAGGTACGTAACTTGTACATTTAAAAATAACAACCTAGATATTCTTTGCAGTTTACCACCAACACTAAGGAGCGAAATGCATTTATCTACAATCCTGTATCTACCGAAAGGTCACCTGGCCAATTCGACAAAAATATGTTAACTCGCACAAATCTCCCCACTTGGCAGAATCCAATCTTGTTTTCTTGTTTAATCTTGTCATTTCGGCTATGAATCTGCTGCTCCGAATTAACTATCTGTTCATGAACGCCCGGTATATTTCACTACCCCCGACTGACTATCTCAGATCAGTATGTGCACGACATAAAGCTGATAGTCTACATTAGCTTAAGCCATGATCTTCGGTCCGGAATATCGGCCATCAAATTGTCAGTTTGACCATAGCGATTGCATGGTCTTTAAATTTTTATTCTGGGGGTAAATGCGTTGACCTAATTTCCTAGCTGATTTCTGATTTAAAAGCTCTGCATTTTTTTAGCTTTTTAGAAGGAGTGGGTTGTCGTGACCGTGTTGTGATTTTTTGCACGGTTGTTTTTAATGCAGGCCGATTTAATAAATTGTAATATTTATGACGCTTATACAACGGGGTCTGCGGAAAGATCCAGGTAATGCATCCTTGCATTGCTACTATTGAAGTTTGAATGTTCATTTGTCAACTTATTTCCATAAAATCCCAACAAGCGCTTATGGCGAACCATGACCAAATAAGGCAAGCTAGATTAGGCCCATGATTTCGGCCTTTATTTTGCAGATTGGTAATTCACACTAAGAAATTTGAATGACTCTTACATGGGTGTAAGGCGAATAGTCTATAAGCGGTTTTCTGCTTCTTTATTGTCATTGGTTTGTTTATTCGCGAAAACGCACTGTCGCGTGTGCCAGCAGCAAAGGCACGAGTCCAGAGCGAGAGTGCGCGCATCCCCTGTCGAAGAGTGAGTCGCCGCCGTCCCGACGCGCAGGCAGCCGAGCGGCCCTTGTACAGGGAGAGCTTGATCGTCTCAATCAAAGGATCAACTGTCATGTCAGAGTGCTCCACTAAAGCATGCTTGGACGATCTTGGCCTGACGATTTAAGAGTGGTTAACGCTGAGTGAGCTGTTGCCAATGTGAACGCAGACTTGGTGCTACTAGAGGGTGGTGCTATCCACTGGGCGGTGTAACTAGGGTAATAGTGTGAACAGTTTGGAGTAGATTTTCCTTGGTTGTATTTACAAACAAGCCGATGAGTAAATAAATATCTGGTAGCCATTATTTCTATAATAAATTGTCTTACTTCTGCATGAATAAAATTTCCTCCAAAAAACAGCGAATACCTCTCGAATTTCCTATCTTTTGTACCACTTTCAATTCCAGACAGTAAAGTAACATTTATGTAACAGTTTTTTGTGTGAAATCTTAATACTTATTTGTTTTTTTCCACAATAGTATTCATTGTACTGACCAAATAGTGATGAATACATTGTATTCGTAGGACTAGCGATTAACTGAGCCTTGAGTTCTCGATCTTATGACTATATTTGCAGTTTTTTAATTATACAAAATCTCAGTGGACTTGTCAAAGTGACTAAAACCTTAGTTTAGAGAACTTCAATGACAATTGAAAGCAAAAGAAGGTAACACGAATTTTGGGAATATTAGATGGTTTTGAAATTTTCTGAGAGACAAGTTAAGGATGGAATAAGTTGACAGCAGACATGAAGACAGCCTTTTTTCACGTACGTGTCTTGAAAAGCACCAATGAGCCGATTAGGACATCCTTGAACAGGAGATACTCAGATTAGATAGAGCGCTCAACAGGAAACTTATGAAGTATTAATGACTCAGGAAGAAATTAAAACGTGTGCTAATGCTCAATATTAAAAAGAATAACTTTGAAAATACGCAATTTTTTCATTGAAGAAGCGTTAACGATTGTGATAGTGTCACGTCTAGTGGCCTACGCATCCAGTGTTTACATCTTTGCTTGCATCCTATCGAAGAATGTCATAAGATTCAAGACAGCCTTGGGTCGACTACTGTACGTCGTGTGTTACACTTAAATCTCTAGAATGCTCTGCATTTACTCATGAAATACCAAAGCCGGTTGCTACCTAATCGGAACTGGGTGATGGAATGTGTAAAGAGCTGGTAAATATTTGAGCGTAATAATGACGTTTCAGTTTGTGTTTGCATATTTTTTCCATCGCTTAACCCAAGTTTAGACGAATTTATTTAACAAATAGGAGACTACTGAAAGACTAACTCGTAAATTATCGACACGAACAGTTTAACTAACTTGTGTAAATACAAAAATAAGTTTGTTATCTGACTAAGGGAAGTTAAAATTGTCATTAAGGTAATCGAAACTCACGATGCATTTAGATAACTATCAGTTAATTATACGATTATAAAAAAGCATCAGCACAGTCATCTACCATCTGCAAAATCAGACAGGGAGCTTTGCAAACACCCAAAAATGAAGTCGTATCTGAAGAATAAAATACTTTCTAATTCATGGAGGATAATACCAACGCTCTTCTTTAAGTGAGCAGTTGAAATAAAAGCACTTTTATTTTATACTCATTGGCAAAATTTATAAATGCCAAAACGCTTCAACTTGCTAAGGTTCATTCTCGATTGCTGCTCAAACAGACCCGTTTAAAATCCTAATAAAGTATTGTGGTTCATTTTGAAGGCCATAAACCAGTTTATTTGGCCATAGAGAAATATCGCTTTGATCCATCGACTTGCATATCTATTTTGCGATCTAGATAAATTCATTGGATATCTATTTATTAGTTTTAATTAAATGATAAACACCTTCTTATTTCATGCGTTTCACCGCATTCCTTAAGCGATGTGAACTGAATTTTATCGTAAACTGTCAGTCAAGTTAGTGCAATGTAGCTGAAAACGAATAAACCGACAATTGTTTGAGGTCATCAAACATGGTATCTAATGATTTTTTTTCAAATTGTCCTACAAAATACGATCGCTTAAAACTGCATTCTACTTCTAAAAAAATTCGTTTACGTAAATTTCCCTTTCAGTGGAACGGGCGGTGTATCGCAAAATGAAAAGTATCGATTTCTATTTCCGAAGAATCAGCAAATTCATTTTTGCCATCCTGTCTACCTTAACTGTCTGCCCATATATAATCCCACACATTCTATCCACATCTCAGTTTTGCACGCCTTTAACAATTGCTTTTATTGTCTGAAGGTGAAGGAAAATGCACCGGCTGGGACCTCAATCGGTAGAGTATCCGTTAGTGATGCTGATAAAACCGAAGCTAATCGGAAGGTGCGTTTTTCTTTACGCGGTCGCCTAGAGGACCTCTTTCTTGTTGACATCAACCGGGCCAGTGGGGAATTGACCACGCGTCGCCCCATCGATTATGAAAAGCAATCCTCAATTTCTCTCACTGTCGTTGCTGAGAACGAGGTGCCTCTAGTGGCTGATGCTGTGGGTCGTCCATCCAGAGCTGACATCAGCCAAGCTGAGGCGAGCGTCGTCATCTCTGTTATCAATGTTAATGACAATCGCCCGGAGTTCGTGCCCGTATCTCCTCATCGCAAGCACATTGTCTTCGTATGGGAACAACTTCCAGTCGTGGGAGTCAATCAAACCTTAGACCGTCGGAAGTTTTGTGAATCTATTCCCTACAAAGTCATCGACAAGGACTGCGACCCAGCAAGCCAGGAACTTTGCTGCACTCTGGAGTTAGAGGACACATTCGATGGAATGTTTGGTTTGTTGGAGGAAATCCCAAATGTGGTGTGTGTCTTGAAACGGCCAACACACCCTCAGAGCTACAAGGTGATGTTGAAAGCCCGTGACGGGAAAGGAGACGACAGCCTGTCATCCCAAGTAGGTCTGTAGACTTCTTTCACGTAAAAGGCAGTTAATAACTTTTCAAATAGTCTGCCGCTGTTTGAAGCCGTTAGTGGCTGGATCGACTGGTGACTTCAAATGAATTTTTGCGATTGTTACTTTGTGGCGAGCTTTCGCAGTCCAAAAGACAAATATTTCCCCGGACAGTTAATCTATTTTTATTCCTTTTAAGCAGAGGCTTTGTGTTGTTAATCGGTGAAGTTAAAGGCTTTCCGCATTCAACCTAAGGCTGTGCTGGTTCAACAATCTTAACATTTTAATAAGGTGTACTGGCGAATAGGGACATTTCAGTTATTCTGAAGGTGTTGAATGTTCTGGTTTCTCCTGTTGATCCCTCAATTTTTTTATTACCATTTTTACCTTTTACCGCAGTAGACGGCATTTGGTTTGGAAGGTTGGGTGACAGATTGCATTGCCTGGCACAATTCACCAGTGGCGTGAGGTGTGGTGGTGCCTAGTGTGAGTCGCAGCCAAGTTGAGTCAGTTGGCAGCAGGGCCGGTCGTGTTGCGACTAAGTTGACGTTCCCCGGCGAATGCATCCAATGCAGTTGCAAACGTACTCGCCACCATTAATAAAATAAATTCTGCAGCCTACTGAATTGCTGAGAATTTCTTAACCGTCTTTGGGGCCTGAACCAAGGTGTGTGCACATAATGACTGACATCTTAACAAGACACTGTAACCTCTTCTTCGCACACAATGCTATTCTATAGCTGTCTTCCAATGCTTGAAAATAATCCAGGACAGCTTCCTGACCGCCGTGCTTGAAGCTGATCGGCCGTCTCCGTATTTTAACTCCACTTTAAGCGAGATGCTGCCAGTGAAAACACCGCACGTATTGAGGCCAAAGGGGACACAATAATTCAAGCTCGATTTATGCTCATTGAATAAAATTGGCTTTGAACTCATATGGCAGGAGTAAAGAGGGAAGTTAGTGGGACACTTGATTGTAGCTTCTGCCCAGCGCGGCGGTTACAAAATTACAATTTATTTAGCCTGAAAACGGCGATGGTGTGCATGCAATTTGAACATAATTCCTCCCCTCTTTTCTGCAACAGCAAATTGAACTTCTCCTGCTGAATAATTCACTTGCTTTTATTAAGCTGCGGTTTATTTATTATACTGAACCTGGTAATGCTGTTTCTGCCTGTTTTGGTTTGCTTCTCAGCTCAACAAAGTTGAAGTCGATCTCCAGTGAAAGCCCCAACCATTGGTCAAAAAGATACTTGCAAAACGGATTCAGATTTGATAGTGAAAGGCAGACTTTTGGTTCTTTTGGCTTCCCAGAATTTTTAACAACGGAGTGGTCAACTAAATCCTTTGATTTTAGGGTCATTAGTTGGGGCAAAGGCATGGGAATACGGTGTAAACGTAATTATAAGCTTTATTTTTTACCAAAAATAAATTTATGGGTAGGGACACCCACGCAGTTTCATAAAAGTTGGATTGCTATACCAAAATTGATTTCAAGCAGACATGATAAATATAATCAGGGGTGTACAGCCTGGACAAGATATGAAATGACAGCCTGTAGTGAGTGTGAACATGTGAGAGAAAAGACATTTGTCAACATGTAATAATTGGTATGCTGAGTGATTATAAATTGGAAGCAAAATGAGTTAATTATTAGCATGGACGTAAGCATGGGGCCACATGAACGGACGTTGACATTATTAAGAAGTGCTCGTATTAATTAGAAAGGAGACCGCATATTTCAAGGATCTGTCTAGGGCGATTTTAACCAGGAGGAGCTGGTCAATGGGCGTCGTAGAAGCATTTCAACCCAGATTTTTGGTCGTGAAATTTGCACCTTTCTCAAGTTCTTCCTTTGCTATTCAGAATTATAAATTTTCACTTTGTTTATTTTGTTTGAACAGGGCTGTTTGCTGTGGTTGCGTGCGAATAGCAGACAATGCATACTTTATTAAATTGCTGTTTTGTTTTTTGGACCGCTACTGATGGCACGTGTTGAAGAATTCCGGTTGTCAATAAACCATAAAACCGCCGTCTAGTACCTTATCCGCGTTAGTGGCCATCAGCTCTCATGAGTGGCAGGATCCTGCCCGTACATCATCCGTTAGTGTCCTGTCAACAATTATGTGTCCCTCTGGCTGGTAACAGCACATTGACTGATGTTTATTTTGCCTTGCAGATGCAACTTTCCGTAATAATCAAGAACGAACGTGACCTTGACATGTACTCCCTAAAGGGATCTCCTGATTCTTTCCCAGTGGGACTAAAAACGAGTTCAGGTGAATCAAGTGAGGCTGGATTTCCCATTAGAGGAGAGGATAGGAAGACCTTGGGAGCAGACCGCAAGGAGCAAACTGTCGAATCCCAGCAACAACAGGATTCCCAAGTGCCGCCCAGCAATGTGAAACTAAAATCCGCAGGCACACCACCATCACCTCACCAGATGAAAATGGTCTCGGTCCTTGTCTCCATTGCCGGCATCTTCTGTGTCCTTCTCTTGCTCATTATCACCGCTCTTAAATGTGGCCTACTTGATCATCAGTGTAAGTGTAAAACGCCCTGCCAACATCCCAAGCGTTTAATGCACCCGGATATCTATCACATCGCGTGTCTGATGGCTCGACGCGTGGACTGGTGTCACGTGACTGACTGTGATTTGCACGTGGTCCACCACTGTCTGGGCGCTGGAGTTCCCAAGGGCGGTTCGTATTCCCGAAAGGGGCCTAACCAACTCCCCTGTAAAAAGGAGTTATTTCCTTTGGTACTTTTATCGTGCCAAAAGGCGTGAAGTGGAAAGCAGTCTTGAACTTGTCGTACTGTCCCGTAAAATGTTCCGGTTGCCATTTAAAATACTGCAACTACACATTTCAAACGAGTCCAAAGCATGTTCCCCTGGTGCATTCGGGATTGCGACTCACAAGATTATTGAGTCTGTCTAAGTATTGCAAGAGAGAGATAAATTTACGCCCTCATGTGTCAATAACAGTACGGACTTGAATAGCACGTACATAGTCCAGCCCTTTTACTTGTCACTCATGTTTGACAAAACATTACTACTGACGGTTTCGTTCACTGTCACGTTAATTTAAGTGGTCTTTATTAGCTAGCTGATGGTGCGATGCGAGGCTAGTTCTCTTTCTGATCTCAAAATCTCGGCAAGTGTTTCACTCATTTTAAATATAACGAACAGTTTTCATAACCATAACCCAAAATTCACACAATGAAACGGTTCATACCTACGGACTAGACGGTATTCCTGCTTATCACAAACCGTTATAGATAAAGAAAATGTTCTCTTCACGTTAGCCAGTGAATTGTTTAAATGCCGGATGACTTGACGGAGACCAGACACTTCGTTCTTGCCACTTTGGTTGAGCGCGACGGTGAAGAGTCCCTTCGAATGCAAAAACTAATGGAATCGACCTGTGTAGATATTTACACGGTCCTTTAACTGCCCTAGAATACAAAAAAATTTAATGTCATCAAGTGTCATTACTCCAGCATTTTATAAGCAAATGACGAGGTGCGTTCAAGGTAAGAATTTTTCACGAGTTAGATGGCGAAATTCATCGCCAAAAGTGGTGTTAATCTTTCTTAATCAGACTCCACATCGCTGGGGTCTTGGCTCTTCGATGTTTTATTAAAGATAAAAATCATTGAAAAAGTAGGCTTCTGCAGTCTTGACTTTTTACACTAAGTTAAACTTTATTTAGGATCACATTCTCTGTAAGAACGTATTTTCATGATGTTGTTTTTGACATACTAGTGTTCTTGCTGTTTCCGTTTCAGATTTCCCCGTAACAAAGACCCCTCCAAACGCGCAATCTGCAGCAGAAGGAGAAGAACTGACAGCTATTCCTCAAAAGCACGAAGTGGGTTCATGGTTTGCGAATACACCGCCGGTATTCTTGGCAGCAGTCGTATTAAGGCAGTGGTAACTCTAGCCTTGTGAAATGGAACACGAACTATCTTCGAAGGGCCCATGTTCACAGTTTTTGAGGTGTCGCTGTCAGTCGGATTGACTCCATGTCCAAGTGGTGAATGACAGGACGACACAGTGGATGTGTAGGCGCCAAACTGGCACCCGCTGTCCCGATAGTAGAACATTTTTGCTAAATTTGCACACCTAGGCTGAATTGTAGAAGACATGAGTTCGCTGTATTGCCTTTTTTCACTTGACATGAGACTATTCACTGCGGAAGAGCAGGTTGAGTGGCTTGACATATCTGCATTTTGACAGTTCTGCTAATGTATGGAAGAATATTGGATTCATTCCTGTTTAAGATTCGTGACAGTTGAATAAACGTGTTTGCAGGTAAAATTTGTGAAGTTAAATAATCGTAACAGTGGTGTCCCGTGGAGACATCTCCAGGTGAGCTGTTCTCTTGATTTCTTGTTAGTTATTGCAGCATGGGGGTTTGATTCTGGGTGTATGGGCGGGCATGAGACAACCGTATTTTGGGAGTGACCAACAAATCATATGGAAATTGTGCATGCTAATGTGTTCAAGTCTCAGAACGTTGATCTTTGAGCAACCAAACTGACTGAGCAGGTTTCATGAACTTCATCATTTTTCTGAGACCGCGCCAATTACTTAGACGTGAATCTTTTCAGTTGCTAAGGCAAGAAAATCATTCAACATTTGTTTAATTTTACTGAAACCCGTACAAAATATGGCTCCAAATCCTAAGTCGAGGGAACTTTTAGGGCATGAATAATGGTTGCAAAGAACATCAACAAGTTTTGCTGACTGCTTGAAATGAAATTCGAATTTTTCAATTAGTAAAGAAACATCACTGTGGATCGTAGAAGTCTTTGAAAAAAATAGAAAGTGGGGTTCAATGCATTCTGTGACTGATTAAAAAGACAGTCGGCATGACATTAGGCGATTGCATTTTAATATGGTCATATTTGAGTATAAAAAAACATGAGTTAGTTTTCTTGAACTATCACCAATAAAGGAAATTAAAAAAGACGCCTTTTGCACACATATATTGATTTGCAACAAATTTAATTTTGTCTAATTTGTACTGGAATATTAAGAGGGCTTAAGGCAATTTTTCATTTTAAACATAATTCCATTTGGTATACTTTTTTGTACCCCTTCTTCACCTACAGTAAACTCCAATTTTTAAATCTTAGGTGATAGCAATGATGCCTTCGGGTGGTTCATGCAGTGAAGAATATCGTACGCTGCATGAATTGTTTCCCGAGAACGCCTTCTTTATGGACCAGAAGAGGCCCTCAGCTGGAGCACAAAATCGAATGGAGCGCGATGGTACTTATGGCATTTCTGTATCAATGAACGCACCCTTGAAATTCACGACCAACAGCGGCCCCGGTTACCCGGGCAGCGTCATGGCTGGTCCCATTTTTACTGGTTCCTACCAAACCATTCCTACTCCCCCGAAACTCGGACATCCTTGCAAGTCTGTAACAAAACCGCTGTCAGTTTCAACCTTCCGACCCCCGGATCAAGTGAATCTCGGATTAACAAATCGTATACCACCAAAATCTGTTGCGTATCTGTTGCCAGATGGGCAAGTAATGGCAGTCGACGGTACCGAATTTTACAGCTTCTCCGATGCTTATCAGCCACTGGATTCTACTACGTTTTCTAAGGGCACAAAGAAAAAAGATGGTGCTCTTTCGGCTGAAGGCACCAAGGTTACATTTGCGCTTGACGAGCCTCCTGCCAGTCGACCTGACGAAGCGACGGGTGGTGGTGATGGATTCGGAAGACTACTCAAAAATGATATTCACTGTAAACAAGGTAGTGGTATCGCAGATGAAGTTCAGGAAAAAAGTGTTGTCGATGGTGGTCATAATTTAATTCTCTACGGCAAATCAACTAACCATTCGAGTTTTGTGTAATTAAGCTCTTGGTCTCTGATGACATCTCTTACACCCGATGTACAAATCTTAGTGTTGCATTTGTGAACATATGGTCGATGTTTCTTGCTATTTTCTTTTTCTTTGATAAATAAAAATGGATCGTTAAAGTCACTTACATTAAGGTTATGCGAAATTGTCTCTAGGTTATACTCGTATAGACATGTGGTCCCAATGCTTTGCAACAAACTTCGTAAGTTTGAGTGGTTCCTAACAACAAGCGTTACCCTAATTATGATCCATCAAAATTTGTCAACAGGCACCGTTCAACATAGATAAAAATTCATACAGAAAAGCATAAAATAACCTACGTGAGCGTTAAAGTAAGTGTGAACAAAAACATTTGTCGAGTGCGCAATTTGTTTTGATTCTACCCAAGTCGAAAAAAGTCGATGCCACATTCCGTCTGTTTGTTTTTATTTACTTTAGCAAAAGATCACATTTCTTATAAATCGTAATGAGACGGATCTGGAATTTCCAAAATAACTTGTATTAATTAATAGAAAAAAAGTTTTTCTGCCCCATTTTTAGTTGAACAATAGAAAGTTATATTGCGGGGCCTGTTCATAGGATGGGACAGTCCCAAAAACACGAGATTTTAAAGGTAGATACCTTGGGGTAAGTAGTGTGCGTTTGATGACATCATGGTGTGTGCTTCATTTTCGCGTAATATTTAAACAGTCGCATTCCCTTGGACGCGGTTCGAAGCGCGCTTATTGTTCATTCTCACAGCAATGGGTCGAAAGGTTTTCAACGTAAACGCATCCAGAGCCGTTGCTCAATTCGCAACGCATACATTAACCGAAGCCTCTTAGGTAAACCGCCACCTTCATTTACGTTTTAGCCGACGACCCTATTTTTGTTCTCGGCTGCTCTTCCCTACCCCTGCTTTCTTACAGTCCCCAGACAACTGAAAGGTTAATTAGCTTGTGGAGGGTTCTGTCGATTGGTGGGTCGCACTCGGCTGAGGAGAAGGAGCTGGCCGTGACAGTGTTGAAGTAGCTCCGCGTGCCACGGTCCCGACGACCAAAGGGATCATCGACGGTTTCGCGAACGTGGAGGTGGATTGCCGTAGTGAGCGCAGGCATTTATTTTTGCGGAATTAATCTGCAATCGCACTTTCCCACAAAAAAGCGGACTCCGTGAATGTGAGAACGAACAAAAGGAATTAAGAAGGAAATTTTCGCAAACATAATTAAGCATTCCCTTTTGAAGCACGAAGAAGAGTCTTAACTAATTTTTGTGTGAAAATGAACAATTTTCTTAGGCGTAACCCCAGCTAAGATAGTAAGTAAGTATAATCTGAGTGTATTGTGTACAGCGACTAGGTCAACTAGGAGCGTACTGACCGCGCTGTCACATTTTCCCAGCACTCCAGTGATAACCTTATGAACATTAATGCTACTTACTATGCCAGGGTGAAACTCCAAAACCCTTGAGTTCAGCTATATTACCGATGAAAACTGCTTTCGTTTTAATTAAGAGCGATACTCTTGAAGATGCCAAATTGCTCTCCAAGCCGGTTATAGTTAATATTATTTCGTGATGAAGTAATAAACTTCAGAGTTAGTGAACTAACTTTGCCCTCGGCGGAACTGACATCCTATTTAAAGCCGCACAATATTAACACTATTAGATTTGGCAATTTACAGTGTTCTGTGTAAATTAAATTTGTCTATGGATGAGAGCTGGTGGCTGACACTACTAGGGTATGTGTAAGTTTGACCATTTAATCGCCATTATTAATTAGCTATGAGCAGTGTAGTTACATTACCTGCTGGACAACTGTTGGCCTGATTTGACTTGCAGAGGTGGCGAATGGCTGACTTTCCGCAGACCCAGTGACCGTCACCAAGCGGAGCATATTTTTAGGTCACGGTGCACACCGCCAGCGTGAGTAAAAATGCTCCATCTCCCCACCCCACCTTATCGGTCATCGCCTTGCTCGTAGTAGCCTTGTAATCGCAAGACTACACCTTTTTGCAAACACATGTTCCAGTTTCAACATCACAGTCGATATTGCTTGTGCGCTGACAAGAGTAATTTCGGTTTCACAAACACGCAGTGTCATGTCTGCTTTGAAGAATTAATTTCAGTTTTTTTTATTTTCTCAGAAGTGAATTGCTAGCTAGTTTGTTTGCATATGTTAGTTTATTGTGAATTGGAACACTGAATGCAAAGACGCACTCTCGACTGAGATGTTTGCTCAGCGGAGGACGAGTGTCAGAATGAAATTAAAATATTTCGTTCAGGAGGTTTCGCACTCCCAGCTAACCAAAATCTGGACGATCTACTTAGATTGACGATGGATGTACTGGAATTGAATAACCATTGGTCTGTGAAAATGGCACGGGGATTAAATGTGTCGCACAAACAAAAATTGATAACCTTACGGAATCCTTAGATTTACCGCGAAACTCGATGAATCATTACTTGGTATTTGCATCACAGACTTAGTAGTCGTCCCTTTTCTAAAGAGATCATCTTTGACGACGAGTGGTAATTCGTCTACAGGAACTTTGTTTGCAGGCAATCAGGTTTCAAGCGAGATGAACGAGCACAAAAACATCAAAATCTGATTTGCATCAGGACATTTCAGGCACATTTCAAGAATTCAAGTGACCAATTCTGTTTACTGTCAAAAACCAATTAAATTGGAGAAGAAAATCAAAGAAAAATGGCGAGAATTGGCAGTTGCAAAAGAATCATGCACCGCTAACTCGATGCAAAATCTTGTGAGGCAGTGGGTGGGGTGAAAGCGCCCCTGTCAAATATTTCTAAGTTTGCAAAACACTTTGCATGGCGAAATTTTAAGAAATGAGGATAACTTAAAATTGCATTAGGTTTAGCTTTTGCCGATTTGAACCAGGAATTTCATAAGCCCTGATTCAGATAGCATCCTGGGAAAGGGAAGAAAGTTGAGTTAGTCTCAAACTAAGTGCAGCCAATTCGGTACAGAGTGAAACGCCCTCCTTCATGGTCAGTAACACCACACTAACTATATTATTAGAAAGTTCTGCAACCAATGGCGTTTTAAGTAAACTTTTATGACGTAGGATAGTGAGACACGACACTTTCATTAGTCGAGAACAATAGAGTCGGCAAACAACTTAATAACGCCGGAGATGCTGAGATGAATTATGAGCTTAGTTCTGGTTTTTCACTAGTCTTCCTGTGGGGATCGTTCCACACGAACAGAGTGGTTGTAGAGCCCCTCAGCTAGTAGATAAAATGCGAGGGAGTTACGGACACCAGATATCTAAAATAAAAAATTATGTTTGTAAAATACAAATGATAACTTTGCACATCTACTTAATTTATGCCAGTACGCATTTGTACAGTGATAATTTGCCTTAGTGCACATTATTCTTTTAGAAATCTTCTTGGTATTCCTAATGGGTCTTGATGGTGCCGTCTAAAGATCTACTTAATCATTACAAGGGGATTATAGAAAGTGTTTTACAAGAGTGCGGCACTTCCACAGAAATCAAAACTTACCTTTTTGGCCTTCGCTCTTTTATTCTGGAACCATATTTTGACTTGCGACTCTTTTAAGTTTAGTTCTCGGGCCAAATTCTTGCGACGCACCTCATTCAAGTACCTAAAGTGTAATAAAGACAACCATTGTGCTTGGTAAGAGTGTTCATCCGAATTTGAGGTTTGAATCGACGTAAGTTGCTGCATTATTTGTGTGTGAATGAATGCGGCTCAGTGAGCTCCTGCACTGGCCCAAGTGGTAATGCCTTGATGCAGTTAAAAATAATGACATTGCCTGGTACTGTTATGTAGACCACTTTTTAAAAAAAATTACGTCCCTTCTTGTACACTTCAACCTTTCGCATTCCATTCAACTAACGTTGTTCTCAGAAGTCCGAAATGGCATTATTCAGGGGTAGGACGATAAGAATCACTGTACAACAGACGGTCCTTGAGTATCGAAACTGAATACGCAGAAGGCTGTCATGACATTCCATACTCAAGGTTGCGTCTTTAAAAGGCAACAGCATGCTTTCGGTATCCGATATCAAAAACCACCCCATAGGAGTGCTTCTGGAATTCTACACCAATCGCAGGCAAACTAAAGCCCTTGGAATGGTTAATTGAGTAGCTAAGGACACGTAGTTCACACGTAATTCTTTCATACCTGTTCTTATCGAATTCCGCGGCGAGTCGATTTATCTGGGTGACTGTGAAGGAGGTGCGTGGTCGCTTTTCGGTTGCCATGGTTCTGCCTTTTCGACGCAACTTCCGCATTCTTGGTCCTGCAGTAAAACATATTCGTTTGGATAGTTCTAATCAGCATTTCAGTGGAATAATTTTGTTTCCTTGAACCACGGATCTGGTATTCAAGTCCAAAAATAGGTCAACGAAAGTGACGAATTTCGCTGCACTGTTTGCGCTTTATCAATGTGAGTTTATTCCATCTCCGATCCTACTCTTAAACACAAATATCGGTATTCATAGACTTTACTGTCTTGATAGACTTTAATGAAGGGATTAAAGCTGATTTTTAGTATCGAATGACTCTTGCCAAAATTTTGTATGCTAATACATTTCAGTCTACTCAGCCTGAAAAGATTGCGAAGCATTTGGTAGAAACTCGTATAAGACGTAATATGTGCTTACAAGTGATTTTCGGTGGGGTTTTTGCATAAATGACGTAATATATAATAGCAAAAATGCAAAATAGCCGAGTTTTGAAAAACTTCGCAGATAATCCTTTACCTCATGTTACATAAATCAAAATAACAGAAAAATTATTCGTGTTTAAAAAATTGAAATCTACTAAACGCAAAACAAAAAAATAGAGTTTTAACTTCAACAACTAAAAGTTAAATTTTTGGAACATCTCCGTCAAGTAACCCCAGACAAATTGTTCAGCTTGTGCAAAGGAAAATCCATCAAGTTTCTGGAAAACAAGGGTACTTGTAAGTGGCCTAATTTCCAACTCGCCATTTTCACTTGGTCCATACCAAGCCTCAGAAGTCAAAATGGGTGGCCGCACGCACTAAGGCGCAGAAACCAGACGTCGATGCACTCGCGTTTGCCTCAGTCCCCGTCTCAGAGGGCTCTCAAACAGGCTAAGGTCGAGATCCTAATTGCAGCACGCGGTGGTGCAATTGCCTATTAGCCACTCGCATAACAACTTGATTCACTGCCAATCAAATCTAGCTAAAAGGTAATTTGTGCTTGGTGGTTACTGTGTTCGCTGATGCTGCCAAGAGTGTTCAGGTGCGAGGACGTCCACCGTAAACTAGCCATGGACTAAACTACACGCATTATGTCAGTATCTTGAAACACCTGTCTTAATTGTGACATTTGCAAAATCCAGTGTTACAAAACGAAAGAATAATTAGCTTAATATACATCTTGTTATTTTTTGTACCCGGTCAACGTTTCGGAGCCCTGCTACGCCTTTGGTCTCCTAATTAGTTTCGCAAGGTCCAGTAATTGCACTGTCCTTTCTTTTGTCCTTCGACGATTTTGCATGGGGATTCACCCTCGACATGACTCCTACCCCCCAGACCCCCACCTCCTTCCTCCCCACCCCAAACCTCCTTCCTTTTCCACCTGGCGGTGCGCAGAGGTGACTGCTACTTTGGCACGCCTCTAATGTGCAACAGGAGTTTGCTCAACGTGGCCATAAAATTCCTGTTAGGAAAACAGCAAAAAGGAGAAAAAGTGTAGAGAAAAACCACAACGCCCCACCAACATTTCAGCGGTTGTCATTCTTACTGGTTAGTCGAAAATTACCTTCTCGTGTGAGAAAAACGCGTCTTTCTTGCCAGTAGTAGTTCCAGCCAATTTTCCCATATACACCGTTAAGTCGGTTAAAATTATGCATACTAACAACATTTCGCCTTAAGAACATCGCTGTCCATGAGGAAAATGCTAGCTAATACTTATTTGCCTCTTAACCATAAAATCTCGCACATGCTACAAGTAATTTACGTTACCGGTTTTTCTACCAGTCAAGATTGTAAGAAAATCTCATCTGCATTTGTGGGTTAGGTTAAAATCAACTGGGTTCCAGGGCATATCTGCAATTAAAAATCAAGATACCTGTAATCACATTGAGTTCGGTTTTTGTTCATAAAATGGATCTGACCACTTACTGAAACAAATTTTGTTGTTCGAAAATGGGCTTCTGAGTGAGACGGTCAAGTTATTTATTGTAAATCGTAGTTGAGTAAACAGGGAGGCTCCTTGAATTTTACGGCATTTCACCCAGCTTTCCCCATGTTTTTCTCCCAAAAGCGTGTCTTAAATTAGATGCGTGGTCTGTTAACAACATAGCAAGCAACTAACCTGCCTTTAAAGTAAGTTGATAATTTACTGATTAGTCGACACCAGTCTATTCAGAATAGCTCTCCTAATTCTAGTTCATATTATGAATCCAGGGTCAAGAAGGGTACTACATGTGCTCCAAAAAATCATTTCGCAAGGCAGGACGTGTTAAAAAGTCGGTTGAAAGAAGATGTCCACTGTCCTGCTAATCGTTTCACAGCCTAGAATGCTTTATTTTCCGGAGAATCCCTCCAGATCAAACTCCATAAAGCCCTAAATTTGGTTAGACGATCGATTGTCTGACTACTACCAATGAGGGTCTCAATCCGATTGCCATGACAGCAGTTTGATGATATAGTTTATTGTCACTCACTAATGTGACTGCTTTTAGGTGGCCTTCATGTTTAAATGAATTTGGCCTTCTTGGAATTTGATCAGATAAAGAGTTAAGCCTTACAGGATGATCCCCTTTGTCACACTACTTGGTGTTTTAATGAATGGGATGCTCTGCGCATTAGGCGTTTGATGCAAAGAACCTATTTGAAGGGATAGTGATCTCAGAAGGAAATAAGGTCATGGCGCTCGAATTCCAGACCGTCTTAGCTCTTATTAACAGCGCGAACGTTAGCTACACTTGGATATCAATTTTGAACAGGACTGATTGATGGCTGGTAGGAATTCCACTGGCATGTGAATTGGTACTTTCAAACCATGCTACAAAAGTTGTTTGATAGAGTTTTGTTTGAAGTCTAAGGAAGCTGGTTTGGCTGGGAGAAATAGGTGTAGTTACAAAATTGGATAAATGGCCGGGCAAAGTGAATTTATGTCATCCCCAACCCATCGAAGCTGTAGTTTGGTTTTAACAACGAGGTAGATGCATTTTATGCACGCAAATCCAAAGTTTAATAAAAATCAGTCGCCTAAATAGAATAAATTGTTTCAGAGACAAATATGAGATGAATAAAATTCACAGGATTATAGATGCAGCAGCATAGGCTTCTGTGGGCCTTCTCTTGCGCTAGAATTGAGATTCGAGAAGTTTCAGTGAATATTGAACGCAACATAACTTGAGAATCCACTGCACTATTATGTTTCAGAAGGCCTTAAGCTTTGACATTTTCAGATCCTCGGTTCCTGGAATGCTAGAATTGTATCATATGGTCGACCACAAAGTGATATGATGATAATGATGATGAAACTTGCGTTTAGGAACAATTTGCATTTAGGGAAAACCGAATTCATTACACCAAGAAATTATCCTCCTGCGACACACTCTTCACCCATTTTTATTTTCAAAAGGGGACATGAAGGTACTTATAGATGAAGCGGACTGAATTAATTAACATTATTGACATACGTGAATGCAGAGTTGTTGTGCAAAACTGACATGACTTGCGTAGATTGGATTATGTCGTTCAAAAAATGCAACTTCTAAAATAGCTGTCTCTTTTACTGGTTGAAGCCAGATAACTTAGGTTAAAATGTGTATCGAAGCCTTTGATTAGCTCTAATTTGGTCTAGCATAAACAACCAAAGTTTGAAGGCCTTGCGTTAATATAAATGTATTGGGTCTAACGCAAGGGAACACTTGTCAGTGTGGCCAGTGTGGCGGGCCAAGCAACATGCCACAAATGTAAATTCAAAATATGTGAACCTGACATTGCCACAGGGTATCTATTTTACTCATCACGTCAAACCTATTCACTGATCTTAAAAAAGGTGGGAAGTAATAAGCGAATATGTTCCATTTCGACAAGAATTTACTAACTGTAACTTCTTTATTTATCAGTGTACGGTGTCTTCAAGACCGTCTACGCTATAACGCGAAGCCATTTTTACCTTCACTGTTCTTAGTTTTTTTGAAAGTAACTCACTACAAGCCGTCGGTTTTAATCCAGTCGAAACTGTGCTGTTATTCTAGCTTTAGCTCATTATATCGATTACCCGGTGTTTTAAATTAATTGTACTCAAGTTTTTCCCAAAAATGCACTGAAGGTCAACAGTATAAATTAAAAATCGATCAGACATAGCTAAGTAATTTATGTTCATTCACCCGCGCGGTCAGCTGAGCGCCGGTAGTCATTGTCAAGTTTAAGCTAACTTCACCTTATCGAAAAAATGGAAGCAAGCCCACGATCACCTGCACCAGAACAGGAGGTCCGAATTTTTAAAGAAATTCATGACCACTATGGTAAACAGGTTCTTCAGAATGTCAGACGCTGGGAATGGGCAGTTATTCACGAAGCAGTAACACGCGAACAACTGTTTTTCCTTCACAGCTGTGTGAGAAGCGATGTCTTTCCAAAGAGCGTCCATTACAAGCCCCCTATTCCCACAGATCGAGCCAAAGACCTGGCCTACAAACTCTCTGTACAGATGCGTAAAGAGCTCATAACCGACGCGCATCATCGTTTAGAAAAATACGCTTTTGAAATTAACAAATGGAGAACAATTTGCGAAGGGCAAATGGAACCTACTTGGGTAGAGCGCGTCAAAAGTGCCATACAATATACGGCAGATGCGAAACGACAGATGAAGAAGGAATACCTCAATCAGAAACTGCAGAGACTTCGAAGTCCACGGAAGGAGAATCAAGAGAATTTGATTGATAGACTTTCTCAAATGGCAATTAGCAGAAACAGACGCGTTCTGGGTGATGCAGGCCAGTTACGGGAGGACCCTAGAGCCGCATTTAATGAACATTTCGACGAAAAACGTGATTTTCCCAGTTTCAACGCTGCCTTTGGTTTTGAGTTTCATGATTCTGGGCTCTTTGATGACTACTTATAGTGAGGTTGTTTTGAGACTTTGTATTATATGTTAGTGTATCCACGATATCTTATCGAAGTTTGCACTCTTTGTTTACAATACAAAACATTTATACTCTTGCCAAAAGTGTTATTCTTATTCTCGTCGTAGAAGGTCAGTTTGAAGATTAACAAGGGCGAACAAACTATACAACATAAATAAACGACAACGTCATTAGTAAAAAAATAATTTAAAACAGAAATAGGTCATCATTATTGCCTTCTGGTGAGCACAAAGTAAACAGAAAAATTATTCCTGTTTTTGCTTTACAGAATGAGCACCAAACATTCAAACAGACTAGTTGCTGAAATATGTTGATTAATTAATGGAGGATAGTTGTTCAGCAGCGCGATTTTCAGAACAGGTCTAATTTCTTGATGAAAAGGCTCCTATTCAACTTGATCAGTGCTCAAATTAGTACTTTCAGACGGTAATCGAATGCACTTTGAATGACTTACCAGACGATGGACGATCAGAGTACCGAGTGCAGAATATCCACGCGGGTAGCGGCAAGTGCACCGGTTTCTGTCTGCTTGGCAAAAACATTGCATTTGAACTTTGAGACACTTCACGGGTTCTTTGGTGAGTGTCTTTACGATACGAGGCTGTGTCTCGTAAAATATCTGCAATAAAGAAACCAGAACCTCGCATCGTTCTGGGGCGAAATAAATTTAAAGCCGGGTAAAACCAGTAAAGGGTAATGCATTTTACTGTTTCACGGACGGAAGCTCGCTCGTGCAACCAATCGGATTACCAAGATGGGAGTTGGAGGGGGAGGTAGATGCGGGGGATGGAGGGCTGTCTTCGCGCTTTTGGGGGACGGCAACAAGGCGGGGAGATAATTGCCTCATGCGACAGGCTGGTCTACCTGCAGCCGCACAACACCGTCATTATCAAGCACATGGAATTTGATCCACGAGGGTATTTCAAGAACAGAATATTTTTGTAAAGTGATTTAAGAAATAAAATTCTGAATAGGGACGTAAACTTGTGCCGTTTAAAATATTAATTTATGCTGCCAAGACAAGTAAATATTTACAACCGACCATCATTAATCACATGTGGGGAAGAGGATCGTTGAGGTACCACCAGGGTGAGAGACCACTAAAGAAAATCACACATCCCATACGAAGTCATAGATTTGAGTGAAAAGTTTTCATTGAAATACAAAGCATATGTGGTATTGATGCAACCATTTTCCATTTAGCTAGCGTATCTTCGCAGAAATTACAAACGGCCTGGAGAAACATGAATGACAAAAATTGATGGCATCAGCTCAAATTTTTCGATCTCACAAAATCGGATGAGGAAGGATTAACTCAAACGTGAATCACTCTCAGTCACGTTTCGGAGAAGTTTAAACGTCATTTAAGACACATGCCTTATGGTTAAGACGTGGCTAGTGGGATCTGTTTGAATCAAAAATGCAATTTATTGTATTCTTTGTGAAAGAAAGGTGTTTCTTATTTCGGTCGACGATTTCAGTAACGTTCCGAAAAAAAACAAAAAAATTAAATTATTTAACTTTAACCCATTTCCAATGTTGCATAAATTCTAATCAAGTGGCGTCCTTTGTGTAATTAGATGAATATAAATTGCCACACAAAGTTAGTTTACTTTAGAGTGCGAGGTCTGTGTTGGGGATTGTTGGATTGAAAATCGCAAATTGTTTTAAGGAATGCTTTCCCTTTTTCAAGAGTGGCTGGTTGGTGTAATCGCTTAATTTCCGTGACCAGCTGCACCAATTCCTTTTCTCGATCACAATCGTTTTCTACAACCGCGTGGTCCACTTTTCTTTCGTTGGATTCCCTCACTGGCACCAAGCCGGCAGGTGACTACTTTTAACATTAATGAGTCTTCCCACCCATTCAAACTCCTTTTTTTATTTCCAAAGACCCGACTGACAGCAATGGCCGCCAAGTCATTTTTTTTCATGCATTACTCCGTCAAGGCGAAGACGACTTGCAATACCTACTTGCGTTGGTTTGGAAGGCATTGTAGGCATGAACGACCGACGTCGATTATGCTGATTCGTCATTCTTCATATTTTTCCATTTTGCGTGCATATCATGGAGGCCTTCGTAGGCTCAATTAGTGTTTCGATTGACGGAACTATTCCGTTACAAACAAAGTCGCCCAATGCCAGGCCCAGCAGCAAAATTGTATATGTGGGTTCCCCTTTTAGGATACTTCAGGATGAGCACTTCGGTTCGAAGCTTCCCATCACCTCGATTTCGCTAATTTCAAAGCCTCTAACGTCCTCTTCTGGTCACAGGCTGTATTACCGTGGTCTCATGAAAGCATCCATTTTTGTCATCTTGAAGACGTGACGTATGTCAGTATTGCATAGTCGCGGCTTTAACAAACCACAGGTTCAGAATTCTCGTTGACGTCTGGTGATAAGTCTGGACAGCTGTATAACATTCGCCTTAACATGTACTTGCTGAATGTCAACCACAGAATGTTATTTTTCACAATTGACACGATAGACTCATTATTTTCAGGCTGAATGGAGAGGGCAATAACGAACAGGCTATTAAAGTGGTACAGAACAACAAAACCGATATCTTTTTGCTTTCCATCTACTCATCGACTCCGGATGGCGATAGATGTTTTTTAGTCGTCAGGCCTCGTGACAGAGACAATTGCCGCTCAAATTAGAGTCATCCAGCATTGCTCGGGTCATTTCTTTGCGTGTTTCCCTTACTGTCAATTGTGCAAATGCATGGCTTAATTTGTTTGCTTCTCCTCCACCGCCTTTTACAAGCAACCAAAGCTCTACTTGGACTGTTATCCATGTCTGTTTTCTGTAGGATCACTGCACACCCCTGTTCTGCTTCGCGATCCATCAGCAGTATTTCAGTCAGCGAGCCTGTTTCCCTCTGAGGTGTCGCCTTCAGGCGTCATTTGCGAAGGTTCTTCCTCCCTTGCCTCTGGCCGTGGAAATCTCTTTGAACTCGCTAATTTTACATATGGAAGAAGGTGACTGGACAGGTTCCCGGCCTCATCGCTGCTTTAATTAATAAGAAGGTACCACCTAACCCCCTTACAATGTATTATTTCATAATAATGGCAATATCCAAGGGCATCGATGCTGCAGCACCATGTCGACACTTAGACATAGGAGATACTCACTGATTAATGCGATGGTAAAGCATACTACGCCATCCAAATAGTGAATTGGTTTATTTTATTCTATGTGGCATGACGCTTAGAGATTTTCCGGAAAAATTTGCTAGGTAACAAAAGCTGTCAAGGGGACTATCAACGGTCCTGTTTCACAACCAAATAATATAGGTGTGTGAGTGTCTTTGTTTTGACGACGACGACAACTTCGTCGGTGACACTGAAGACCACATTTGAGGTCGCATTATTGTCAATTCAAACTAATAGCAACGTTCCTTTCCAGTCGGTTAACACAAAACGTCAATGGTCACCTGCCATCACACAATGAAGTCTTCATCCAACTGCCAACCACCCTGTTCGAATATTTTGCCCTATCGGCTACTCGGCATGACCTGCTTTTATCCGTGGTCCTCCATGAACTATTTGGAGGCTGTTTGTTCCAACAACAGTTGGTAAACATTGTCTGAGCGAGTCGCCACACAAAGAAACAGCAGCATTCAAGTTACTGAAAGTTCCCCAAGCGGTTCTCCACAGTGTCACTTCCCGCTTGCAGTCAAAACCATCGCGACACTACGGTACGTGTGGTGGTCAATCAGGACGAGGGTACAAAACAAGTGACAGACACATTCACTAGAAAGTCGCTAACGTCAACCACCAAACAAAGTGCCTTGGTCCCTGCTGTTGTCTCGATGACGTCGTGAAAGAGAGTCTTGCTGTTTACGCCCATTGCAAGATGTTCACCTCCGCCGTCACACCTCATTGAGAAATAAGCATCATACCCCGGCTTTCACCTACGATTAAAGTGTGAGTGTCATTTTTTGTGTCAAAAGTGAGGTCACTGGCCCTACAGAAGCAAATTGACATGGGAACCAGATTGTAACAATTGCGATCTCTACTGACAGAACGATTAGGCCTATCCACAGGTATTACAAAGTTTACCTAGTGTACCGCGTAGAGCGTTAACACTAGGTTGACAATTTCCACACACCTCCCCCCTTTTTTTCGCTTGAATCTTCAACCCAAAAGTAGCCGGCGTTCGCCTGAGTTGGCGCCCAGCGAAACGCGTCGACAGCCCAGGGAGATGACGGAGGTACCCTGCGTCACCACCAGCAGCCTCGAGGACGAGGGCGGTGTGCTGCCGATCACTCGAGCTTAACCACATGCCCTGACAGCGAGATCAAAACACCCAGTGCATGGGTACATACAGGAAAAACAAACGACATTCCCATTTCGCTGAGCAGTGATCTCTGGAGGCACAAAGGGTAGTCACGACTAACACTTGGCCACTTTGTGGGATAACTACGACTCAAAAAGCCACCACTTTAAACTACACCTACTTCGTCCAAGGTGCCCTCCGCCGCAGGGATTGACTTTGGATGCAGAATTTCACCCTTTGTTTATGCCAACTTTACTGAACAGCCAAGAAGGCGCAGTTTGTACATTGTAATGTGAACTCCAGAGAGCTCAATTATGTACACACTAAATCAAAGACATATGAAAGGGATTTGTTGAAGTGGCGTTTCACCCACAAATATGCGCTTAGAAAACATTGAAATGGATAAGACAGCGGGTCTAGAAAGCACGAGAATACTTGTTTGAAGAGAATTTTCCCATTGATTTTCGGTTAACATATTAGGCAAGTTTCTGAAATGATAAAAAATGAGTAAGATGATGAGTATCAAAAATTGGAAGAAAAATGCGCAGAAATACACAATATACGAGCAGCATAACTTCTTAAAAGCCTCAATTGGTATGAAGCAACCAAATAGAACACTTTACACACTATGTATCCCATTGCCATCAGAGAAACAGAAACCGACATTCCAAAATTTGTCACGATAGAAAGGGTGTGCGTATGTGCTTGATACAATTTCGACTCCCTTAGCTGCTTCAATGAAGCCCAAGGATGTGCCCACGTTAATTACTAAGAGTCAGTTTTAGTCCAAGATCACTTGAACTTCTCCACAACAGCATTGAAATTGTGACAGAAAACCTTGCGATACGATGTTGGCTGCGTTGCGACTGCAGCTATTATCCAGGTGTTAAGTGACTTGATATTGCAGACCTCATCGGACAACAAGTAGGAAGTTGTGGACACAAAATAATGGACCAGAGCAAGAAATGTCGTCATGTTAACGGACTTCAGATGTTCTTCGGCAGCTTTAGGGGTCTTTGCATGGCAGTTTAATGATCTCGAAGACGGGCCGACAATAACAATAACACGATGCTTCCGGAATTAACAGCAATCGATTTTCCAGAATGTCTCCTGTTACTCAGATACAAATAAAGAACTGTAACTAGCCGACAAATGCGTCACCTTACCTACTGGTTCCCCTTAGGGATAATCAGTCAAGAAGGAAACTAATTTAATTCCCTAAGATGACCAGTATTTATGCATTTCCAATGTAGAATAAATAAATAATATGATGGTGCGAGTGGAAAAAAAACTTTATCACTTTCAAAATACCCAAAAAGCGTTATGGTAGAAGATGGTACAAAAATAGGAATGGGAAGTTAAACTGGTAATCTGAAAGAAGGAAACTTAATCGACAGATTAATTGAAACAACGTTGATACTAAACTAGCAGGTGTAATAAGTGGAATTCACGACGATCTATTACGACTTAACGTGGATCAACAGTAGTCAAAACGCCATTACTTTTCCCAGTGCACAATCACAAACACGAGAGCGTCGCTTGAATGGTCCCACACCGCTACCTTGATACGAAAAGGCGCCAAAATACCACGGAGGGGAGAAAGTTAACTAACGATTGCACAATGCATGTAACAATTTTCGGGAATTTGACGCACCACTTAACTAAAACTAACAATGACTCGTCGCTTCAAGGTAAAAACAACCATATTCTTCTAACGTAACTGGCCGAAAAAAATTAAAACTCCTTTACCCATCTACGTAACGGGTCAGTGGAAATTCGATTTTATTAAATCAGAAGATTTGTACACAACTCATGAGTCGCGTATAATGCGATTTTAGGGTTAAATTGTTGGGTAAACGCTAATGTCTCCACTCAACGTCCCCTTTGGTGTTTGTGTGGATTTCAGCAACTTGTGCACATCCGACGACAAGGCATGTGGGGCGCACAAGACCGGCAGGGTCTCTTCCACTGAAGGTGCTTAGTCGGGAAATAGGACAAGAAGACGTTCTAAACATGCATTAGGCGCTACGGTTCTCTAGCTTACGAACCCAGCGAAGGAAGAGAGGTGAACTCACGGTCATGGGCGTCGTCTGCTGGAAGTTGGGCTATCTGCTCTTCCGCCTTCAGAGAAGCCTTAAGCTTTTCAGCAGCCGTCAGCGCTTCGTTCAACTTGAGGCCAAACCACAAGAATATAGTCTTAATTAAGCACTAACAGGCACCCAAAATACTGTAAACCTGACAAACAGTAAGTGGAAATTTGTTCACAAAAGTATGGGCTAAATTTTTGTGTCAAGGCCTAAACTACGGTGGCCAGTCAGTGTCGAAAGTAGGTAGAGAAGAAGGCGTGATGAGAGATTTTGAAACAATCAGAAGTTTGTTGTAACCAATCACCGACAATAATAGTAATCGTGATAATTTCAAGCATGCCTCTGTTCTCAGAAGGAGCTGACTGAAGTAGATATGCATTCCTTTTTTAAATTAATAAATAACCGTGTTCTTACTTCTGACCGAAATGCTTTTTGTACGTCCAGATTTTGAATATCTGAAATGAAAAAAGTGCGAATTTGAATGGGGATTATAAGAAATCAAAGAGTAAAATTTGCTTGTAACTGTCCAAATGCCAGTGAAAAGAGTGTCTGGAGATAAAGCAGTGTTGACATACTGGTCAAACGGCAACAATTTACTCGTCAGACTAATTTGTAGGATTTGAAGTGGTAAGTTTTTTAAAATCTAAATAGAATATTCACAAGCACCAAAATCGCAGTTAAAGAAAAATCGAGTAATTTAAAGAAAGTGTTAGCCGAAGTATGAGTAGACAGACATTGGTTTTCACCAAATTGGTGACTGCCGACCCTACAATCACGGGAAAACTCACAACGTAGTCGGACATTTGGCTAGCGAAACGGACCAGCGAGCCCAGATCAATCAGCAGCTTACACGGACGAGAATGAGGTCACAAGTACACCTCACTAGATATGTTTTCTTGAGAAAGTGAAAAGCTCGACTCGTTCACTCGCTTTTACGCTCTCTATTACATGCCCTGCCCGCAAGGCGACAAAACAGCACTGGTTGAAGGTACGTTAAATAGTAAACAGTCGGGCTTCAATTAGACTACCATAAGGACCGTGCAGAGTTGCCAACGTTTGGACTCGCGCCCCGAAGTAACAGGCCTCATGAATTACGTGATAATGCCGAGCCATCAACGATTCGCCGCACACTATCAGGCGCGTGTTCAGTAAACTGTCGAACTAACTGATTTTCTACTTAAATTTAAATAATGTGGAGTCTCACCTTTCACAGTACTAAGCCAGTTACCGAAATTCGACTGTAAGTGGTCCATTGCTGATTTGTATTCGTTGAGGTTAAGCTAAAAAGGAACCCTCAATGGTCACCAAAGTGAACAAGCAAATGGTATACACCTGCGGTCACTTACAAAGAGGTAAAAGCGTCGAAGGCCCGTGACAACCTCAGACAAATCTATTTGTTCTTTGGAAGGCAATTCAACTAAACAGGATAAAGTAGACAGTGATTCAAATAATCAAAAACTTCGTAACTTTTCAACAAATGATACCAATGATTACCAGAGAGGAAGCCTAGGGATTTGGTCATAGATTCTTGTCTATAGAAAAAACCACTACGTCTATTTTTCATACTGTTCATACGGATCGAAGAAACCGTACGTAAACCAAAGTAGAGACACATCATAAGAACATGATTCCCCCAAGTAACGATTGTTGTCTCTAGCTAATCATAGACGTTGGAATACGAATTTACCATTGTTAGTGTATGGCCTAAAAGTGACTGATAAACACTTGACAGACACTGGTTACCCCTCTTCTTCACTGTGAGGCCGTACCGGATGAGAAACGAGCTGCTATAAGCCCGTGGTTAAGCCCACAAACTATCAGCAAAAACAACCACTACGGTCATATGAATCAAGAAGAATAAGAATCGACAAAGTGGAAATCCCAATGAAACCAAGCAGTTGGAGATATCTACAACAAAAATAAGCTCCAGAACATAAAACAAGATAATTTAAAGAAGACGAAACAAATTATCAAAAATACATAACATTCTAACATTTTTGTGACGAGCAACAACAATTGGAAGTGCAACAGTACCTAGTAAAAGTTCATACTGGATGGCGGTGAAATAGTTTTGCAGATTATTTGCGATTGTGCACAGACTAATGCGCTGAAGAGAGTGACTCACGTAGAGCATCAAGACGTTCAAGGGCATATTGGTGGGCTGTTTTCACGGCGGGTTGCAAAGTTGACTCCTCGCCAAGTGAAGAGACTGCATCATCGAGACCAGGAGCAGCCTCGGGCACTTGAGGAGAAGACCCATTGCCCTTGTTGGAGGCGAGACCACCAAACCAAGACGTCAGAAGGTTGATTCGGAGAAACCCGCTTACTGACGAGGGCTTGCACTTTGGATCATTACCGTTCTTGGATGAATCTACATTATCGTTGGCCATTGCAGTTGCTGGAATGCTAAAAAATGCCGATTTTCATGTACACTCTCCATTAACCTACACTAGGGCAATACTTTCGCTTTGTACGAGGTGGCAGCACGTTCGCCAGTCTTATGAATTCACTGATACTTATATTTGACCACGCCAATTTTATAGGCAACATTACCCACGGTCCAAACGAAGCTAATGCTACAAAATTGTCGTACCTTAGGTGTAAGGGACTACTAGAAAAGTTAGCACCGTCCTTACTACAAATAAGCACTAACATACAGAACGCCTAGTAAAAACGACCAGTCGAAGAATAACGACTGACGTCGAAGCCGCCAGTTCGTAAAACTATTTTTGCATAGACAGAGATATGAAAATGCGATTGAGCATTACATTCCCAAATAATTTTATTCAAAATCACGGAAAGAATGACCAATTTTTACTTTGCGGTAGCTTCAAATACGTGGTGCAAAATTGATGGTTCAGATTCCTGGAGATCGATAGAAACGGCATCCTTGTGAGTGGTCAATTGAGAAGCTCACTGCCCCAGTAAGGCACATGCATTCTATTTATCCCCAAATTAACCTAATAACACCACCTTAAAACATTTCGAGAATTTGAGGGGGAATCGCAGTTTCAGTTCTGGTAACAGCAGTAACCGGGACCACAGATGTCAAACTCTAGACCAGAGCAATGAGACAGCATACCTGCATTGGGCAGATTTTAAACAATTTTTTGAGATTCTATAAAGTGGAGTATAGCAACATCATTTACATTTACTAAAGAAGAAAATTTGCCACTGGAATAGGACCTACAACAACGGTTTGACGCAGACGGATGGCGAAGAGGACTCGGGGTGGGCGTGCAGCGGCGCCTTCGTGTCTTTATCACGAGGCACGACTGCCGATTTGGATTCTGCGCCACCGAGATTTGAATTGACGGGAAGCTGACTACTTTGAGAGGAACCGACGTTCTCCCTTTCTTTCAGAACGCGGCTCAAGTCTTCTGCCACCTTGATATACTGAGAAAGCTAAAAAAAATACTGAGGCGATAAGGACCCAAAGTATTCTTTTTCAAAAAGAAAAACAGCATTGAATATTCACACAACAGGAATGCATTGCAATCGAAACTCGTGTGTGACAGTAAGGTTGTAACTACGTATCCGCACGTTTAACGGCAGAACAGCCGACCGTGAGTTATTTAGCTGGATCGTGAAAGTAAAAAAACCTACCTTAACGCTTTTACGCAACCCAGCTGATACCTTGGCGTAAACTCTGCCTCCCCGTATTAGTGCTTCAAGTGGTTTAAACTAACTTAACTTCGACCACTAATTTTGGCGACTTAAATGCATCCAAACGCAACCAGGGAGGAATGACCGGCAACAAATTACTCATCAGTATATGGGAATAAAGTCATTGTACGAGCCAAAAAATTTGCATAAAGAGGCAGAAAGATAGGAAACAGAGGAAAACTTATTACATCAGGGGGTGGTGCTTACTTTTGAGCGAATGATTCGTTTTCTTGAAAGATCATTTTCAACTAAGGCAATATCAACAAAATTCACGTAAAAAATGAAGGGATAATAAAAGGTCGAAATTGAGAAAACCAACTTTGTAGCGCACTGATCAGATGAGTCAAGCCTTCTTTGTAGTTGAAGTAAGCATCAACAAGGTTACCAGAAGAGCGTAAATCATCGGCAATCAAGATATGATCAACCTGAAAGAGTTTGGATTTTATGAGAGCATTTTGTGGGAAACCAAACAGCATCCCAAAATACCGAAAAATTACCGCTTTATTAAGACTACGGGGACATGGGGCATGCGCGAGGTCGATGAAGGGATGGATGAAAAATTGCTCGTGATGAATACGCTCAGAGGGATCACGTTTCAACAACTTCGAAACAAGTTCAATGCAGTCCTTTCCGAAGAGAGGATATCTTGGGATCTAGAGAAGAAATAAAACGAAATCTTTAAATGCAAAGCGCAAAAAATTAATGATTAACTGACAGTCAACTGTGTTCATTTGTCGCATCCAAATAAAGGATATATGATGGTTGAGCTATTCCTACATGTCAGTTACTCCTTTCAATGCTATTAAATCACTACCTTAATAAAACATAAGAACAAATCTTGTCATTATACATAGTCTCGGAATAGTAGCAAAGATTAGATTTATGCAAATGGCACTTGTGCTTTTGCAGTGTAGGGACTGTAGATCCCTGTATCGATTTGATTTATTCAGCTACGTGGATGATCACTACACGGTGCCAACAGGCTTACATTATAAATAATGGAGAACAGGCGCCTTCTTCAAATTGAGCGGGCTTTGAGATATAAGCAAACCACCCAAACGCACTTGCTTGGGTGGATTAAAGCCTCCAACACCAACTCTTGCCAGGGTTTTTTTCACAAAACCCAAACCACAATTCCCCATCGATGTCAGCTTCAATTTCAAAAATCTTACACGATTTTAAGTGCAGTTAATGACCCGAATAACTAAATTTGTGCGGTTCCATTGACATTTAGGAATGTTTCGTTGTGGTACCTGATTTGTCACTTAAATGTACTCCAGGCGTCTGCCAGATTCCATGTGCAAATTGAGCAACACTAACCTTAATAGGAGAATCGTCAACAAGTTTGGCTTTCAACTCATCAATGGTTGATGAGGCGAATGGTGCTTTCCCGAACAGACATTCTAAAAAATAAGCGCATAACAAAAGCGACCCCAGCATTCTGTAAGCCAGTCGATTTCTTAAAAAATGCTTTAAATCAAGAAATTAATTAAGCCTCATCTTAACAGAGTTTACTTTAAACACAATGAATGAAATAGTTGAGCACATTTGTTGCTGAGATGTAGGTATTAACAGATTTAGTTAAACCAAATGTCTTCATTCTGACCCCACAGTAAGCCGAATTCTGAGCTCCGAGAAGTTGGTTACGTGGCTACTTTAAACGACGGTAAGATTGGCGGAACAGTGAGGAGGAAGTTAGTGAGAGGATCTAACTGGTTAGCGCGCCACAGGTGGCTGAACAAATTAGCGAGGTGAGACTAACCGAAGAGAATGACGCCAACCGACCAGAGATCACATGACTTTTCATAAATACCAAACTTATATATCTCCGGAGCCATGTAGAGGAGGGAGCCACGAATTTCGTTCAATTTAACAGGTTCTTCAAGTGATTTTGCGAAACCAAAATCTGGGAAAAGAGGGAATGGAAATTAATACAAGGACATGGGGCTAAAAGTCAATGTAGCACTCAAAACTGGCAGCATAGAACACTAGAGGCTAGCAAAAACCAGAAAAAATAAGAGTAATCCTACACACACTTTAATGACACGAATGGGTGTAGATGAATGCAGGGAGTGGCGCCGCAGCAAATTATAGGCACGGTGGAGACTGAAGACGAAAAGCTAACAAAGGTGTGGCTATAATTTGGTAGTGATTTACAACATTACTCATTTAGTTTATAGAAGTTTACGGAATCTAAAATAAATACAACGGGAGCACATTTGCACAAATTAGATGCGAAACTTACCTGTTAGTTTAAGAGTGGGCGGAGTTGTGTTTGTAAGTAGGATATTTTGCGGCTTAATATCCATGTGCACAATATTCCTCTCAAACAAGTAATGTAAGGCAAAAGCTGAAATAGATTATTAGAAAGACTAACGTAGATTTTGTACCTAACTGCTGAAGAAAATATCGGATGGTTCTTTCGGGGAGCCTGCGTTTTGATTTGAGAAATGAACTCAAATCACCCCCACCTAGATATTCCATAAACATGTAAACGTAGTCCGAATCCCACTGTAAATAAATAGACTGGTTTGCAGTCTTACCGTGAAATCAGTCATCTGAGCAATGTTTCGATGACGAAGATTTTTTAGGATACCAATCTCATCGACAAGGTTATCCTGAGCACGTTTGCACAGTGATTTTTTAGCTATGCGTTTTACGGCAAAAACATCCCGAGTTTTCTACAAAGAATTAACAGAAGGACTAACTTACCTGGTGGATGGCTTTGTAAACTTCACCATAGGTCCCTTTTCCAAGACGTTCTGTAAGAGTATAACCAAGTACTGTGTGCATCACAACACGAACAGTGGGATCCTAGTAACACCACCGTATAGGATTAGTTAAGATCATGAATCGTAAGTGAACCAGACGTGTGATTTGGGTGGACAACAATGAATCGACAACGACTTAGCGCTAACAACAACAACAACAAATGCTCGTAAAAACATGTGGGTTAGAAGTTTTACGAATGCGATTACGTAACGACTCCGAACCGAGATAGTAAATCGAACATATAAATAATCATCAACGCACCAAAAATTGGACTCTAACTCGCGATGTTTGACGAAAACCAATCAAAAAGTACAATGAAATTTTGGGGAATTTATATATAGATACAAAGATTTCCTTAATAGCACCTTTTCCGGCCATCTGAGAGAGCCCAAAATAGTCAATAAGATCAAAAGTTTAATTAGTGGACAAAATAACCAAAACATGAGCCCACGAACTGCTTAGTAATTTTGGTCCCCAACTAAAGATCCTGATGATCAACAGCCAAAAGGCAAGTTACACTTTTATCTTGATATAAAAATCAAAAAAAACTACAAGCATCAAAAAGCAGTACTATAATTTGCGACACAAAGGAGATAATAAGCAAGAATGAAGGATTTGATAGGTAATACAGAAGACTAAAAATTCACAGGCCCTAATATTATCCCATTGAGGCTAGAATATTTTCCAGACCTGGTGTGGTGTGGCGTCAA